CTATATTTAAAGCCGCTTCGTACGAAACAGGCACATATTATCTTAAACAATAAAAGTATGTCATTACATAGATAATATATAAAAATTAATTATAGGATTGATTTAATAGTTTATTACAACAATCCTTACATGGAAAACATAGACCAAAAACCTTGTTGACAAACAGCAGTTCCTGACGGGAAGTTAAGGTCTGTTTTGAAGTCACCTTTGAAAAAAAATACTTTTATCGGTTATATCTAATTATGAAGAGAATTCAAACCCGAGCATTTTTTTTTTCATTAGTAGAATCCTAAGTCATGATATATCTTTTAAAAATTAAGAAATTAACTGAATATAATCCATAGTAATTTTTATATTAATATGCATATTTACAGAATAAAGGAAAATCATATATTTTTAAAGATTTTTTAAAAAGGGAGTTTAGTAACGAGGGCTAGAATATTGTGGAAAAAATGCTCGGGTTTGTTCTTCATGAGTTATACATGTAAGCGATAAATTTAATTTTTCCAAGGTGATTTCACAGAGTGTGAACAAAGGATTATTTTTTGTGTGACGTAACAAAAATTATTTTTTAACTTTTGAATTTTGATATCTTTAAAAAGAAAAAGACTTTGGGGATATAATTTGACAAAAGTTGAAATAATTTATGGACAATTATTTTTCAGGAAGAAAAACGAATATCTTTTTTTAGCGATTAGAATCGGACCAAGCGGCTTTAAGTATCTCAGATATTAATTGGCTTATAATCATCAAACTTTGTCAGTTGATGCATCTTGAGTTTTCCGAGAACGTCGATCAAAAAGTAGTTTTGTTCCAAATGCTTCACTTTAAGGTCAAGATCTAGTAAATAACTTTAGACAAATTTTTTGGTGCTAGATCCATTATGACGTCATAATCAATTTCAACTTTCTTTTTCCCGTACTTTACGGCTTTAGTAGAATTATGTAGAAAATTTGGTATTTTCATGACATTCAATTTGAAATCACATGAAAAGTAAACCGGATACCTATATTAAATTTGATATTGATTTAAAGAAGAGGCCAAGAACATACTAATTACCGTTTCCTGAGAGACTGTAGGCAATCTGGATACATTTCTTCTGTCGAATATGAAAAAAACTCCGATATTCCTGACTGGTTTTCTTAATTTTTCATTGAAAATGACAGTTTAAAAGACAGTTTTTAATCTTGTTTACCTACAAATTATGCCCCGAAACACCTCATTTGACCAAGCTAAAGTTGTAAAGCATCAATAATGGAATTTATTTCTCAAATTTGATAAATCTGTAGGCACCTTTCATTTACTAGATCTTGACCTTAACTGTAAAAATTAAAGTTGATTTTAATGTAACTTGACACACAAGTAAACTACACTAAGATATATACATAATTTCATGCATCGGTTTTTGATTTCGATGAACAGTGTAGACATGGTTACTAAAAATAGAAATTTCTGTAAAATTCCTTTAAAACGCTACTCCTCCTACAATTTTGATCTGATTTCAATATAACTGGGCACAGAAGACGACAACTCTAAGAAATATAATAATTTAGTGAATCGGTTTTTGATTTCGATGAATGATGTAACCATACTAAAAATAGAAATTTCTGTGAAATTCTTTTATAACGCTACTCCTCCTACAATTTTGGTCTGATTTTAATATAACTTGACACACAAGTAGCCTATACTATTCTAAGAGTTACAATTTAGTGTAGTGCTTTTCATTCCAATGAACGGTGTCGTCATGACTACATGTACGAAGAAAGAAAATTCTGTAATATTCCTTTAAAACGTGACTCCTCCTACAATTTGGTCAAATTTCAAATTACACTAGTAATTTGACAAAAAACTAGACTACACTAAGATACATAATTCTATTTATTGCAGCCTGTTGCAAAATTTCAACTTCAAGTGCTACTATTCCTTTTTAATACGCACAGACCGGTAGAGCTACAGTCTCATCAGAGATTTCTTTTTTTTCTTTAATTACCGGGTAGTTGTCTCCCGCGTGTTGCCGAGTAAAGGACAGAATTTGCATCTATCCACCGGCAAGTGGCGACATTCAATGCGAGTGAAAAATTCTCAAGAGGGACGTTAAAAACATACAATCAATCAACATAAGTTCGAAAATTCATATCATTACAGAGAAGATCAGAACGTTAAGGAAACATACATTCTACAATTTACAAAAATGCAGTCATAGGTTTGAATTATAACTTAACGAATAATTTTTCTAAATGATTAATATGTTTCTTATGAACTACCCCATTTTGCCTTTTTGTGGTAAAAAAAAAAGAAGAGTATTAAGTCAATTTTCAATTTGAGCAAGAAAACTAAGTAATTCCCCTATTTATTAATGAAAATCGAATGTGTTGTAGATACAAGGCATATCAAGCTACTTGTAAGACTATCGAAAGACTTATGTATTAAATCTTGTTTTACTCTCATTTAGAAAAAAATATATTGAGTTTCATAATTTTAAATATAAATGCAAAATGTAAGATTCATTTCTGGACATGATAAAGAGAAATTATGAAAACCAAAAGAAAAAAAATCTTCTAATGTTATGTATGGCTTGGGGAACAAAAGTTTTGGAAGTCTCTTTCTCAAAACCCTCATATGTTTAAAACATGTTAAATTTTGAATATAAATCCACAGATAAGATTTTTTTTATATGTATGAAACCGACATAGGTAGATATCCCCCATGGGTTTCCAAAGATGTATTTAAAAAAGTCCAGTTTTTTTTTTTAGGTATATCGACCATTGGCTTTCAAAGATTTGAATAAGTCCATTTTTTCGTGCTGTGCTATTGGTGAAGAGTGTTTAACTTTTAGTCCATACAGGTCTGTTGGCAGTCTTCCAGGGAATCGAAGTGGTTAAGTCCCGGGACTGCGGGGCCGCCGTACATCCTCCTGACGCACCGTCCCAGGGTGGGGCTGTAGTACCAGAAGATGTGGAGACTCATGTACTGTCCCTCATAGGACGGCAGGAAACACTCTGTCAATAAAACAAACTGTAAGTTAAATTAATACTCTTGTTATGGGTCAGAATTACCCAAAATGCCAGCAAAGATCAATAACACAATTTAAACTTAACAATAATTTATTTACAGTAATATATAATAAGTGTATGAAACGTAAAGTACCAACTTAGCAAGAATCTAAAAATACATACATCAGAGTGTCCGTTGCTGCACACAATAATGTCCCAGTGAAAATATATCCCAGTTATATCTCAATAGTGCTTATACGACGAAAGTATATCTATGCATCAAATTGACAGGGTATTTATACAATAATATAAATCTAGAATATTCTAGAAATTGTTAAAACATGATATTACTGGAACAATCTGGACATACACAAAATTCAAGAATGTTCTAGATAGAATGACCGAACATGTTGACCACTCTGGAATGTTCAAGAAACTAAATGTTACTAATAATATACAAGATGAAACAATACAAATACAACACACCTCACAACACCTCCCCCCTTAAAAAGTTTGAATGTCAATGAAAACATATTATTAAAACATAGGTACATTAATACAAAATCTAGTATGTTTACGATACTCTTGACAAGGCATCTGCTATAACATTGTCTTTGCCTTTGATATGTTTAATTGTTATGTTGTATTCTTGTAACAACAAACTCCATCTAGTCAGTCTTTGATTCTTGTTTGACAATTTATGCAAAAATGTCAGGGGGTTGTGATCCGTATATACAAGAATTGGATGCAAAGTAACATTCAGATAAACATCAAAATGCTGTAAGGCTAACAACAAAGCAAGGCATTCCTTTTCAATGGTGGAATACTTTTGTTGACATTTTGTAAGTTTCTTTGAAAAATAAGAAACAACTCTATCTACCTTATCACTATGTTCTTGAAACAAAGCTGCCCCGATTCCAACATCACTAGCATCAACAGTAAGCTTGAACTGCTTAGAAAAATCTGGAGTTGACAGAACTGGATTGCTCATAAGGACAGATTTGATTTTATGAAACGATTTTTCACAGTCCTTTGTCCATTCAAAGTTAACCCTCTTTTGTAAAAGATTTGTAAGTGGACTAACTACTGAGGAAAAATTTGGACAAAATTTTCTGTAAAACCCAGCCATGCCCAAAAACCTCATTAACTCTTTCTTGTTTGTAGGAATCGGGAACTTTGCAATAGCTTCCACTTTAGCCATAATTGGTGTAACATAACCTTGACCTACTTTATGACCTAAATACTCTACATAAGCATGACAAAATTCGCTCTTCTCAAGGTTCACAGTTAAGTTTGCTTTAGCTAAAATGTCAAATAAAGCACGCATGATTCGGAGATGTTCGTCCCATGTGTCGCTGTATATGACGACATCATCAATGTAGGCCTCGCATCCCTCGAGGTCTTGAAGGAGGGAGTGAATCATCCTTTGGAATGTAGCCGGTGCGTTTTTCATGCCAAAAGGCATTACTTTATACTGGTAAAGTCCATCTGGTGTAGCAAAAGCAGATATTTCTTTTGCTCTTTCTGTTAACGGCACTTGCCAGTAGCCTTTCAACAGGTCAAATTTACTGACAAATTTGGCGTTTCCAATGCTGTCAATACAGTCATCAATTCTAGGTATTGGATATGAATCAGTTTTGGTAACAGAATTCACCTTTCTAAAGTCTGTACATAATCGGTAGGAACTGTCCTGTTTTGGTACAAGAATACACGGTGAGCTCCAATTACTTTTACTAGGTTCAACAATGTCATTGTCCAACATATACTGCACTTCCCTTCTTAGGTACTGCAATTTTATTGGATTGAGACGGTACGGATGTTGTTTGATAGGCAGAGCGTCGCCAACTATAACATCATGACAAGCTGCATTAGTTTTCTTTGGAACATCCGAGAAGATTTGATGGTACTCATTCATCAAGTTTTTAACTTGTTCTTTTTGGTGAATGTTCAAATGTCCAAGTTTGGCATCAAAATCAGCCAAAATTTCTGAGTTTTTCAAGCGGACACTCTGATTACAATCTTTCTCATTCATTTCTACACTTGTATCACTTTCAATACAATTTTGAACAGTCTTAGCATTGGCTAAAGTGGAAACTGGTTTTACAGAATTTCGGTCACACCTTTCAAAATACTCTTTTAACATGTTAATGTGACAAACCCGTTTCTCTTTACGTCGACCTGGTGTCTTAACTACATAGTTTACATCACTGATCTTGCTTTCAATTTCATAAGGGCCATAAAATCTGGCCTGTAAGGGATGACCAGGAATAGGTAAAAATACAAGAACCTTATCACCTGGCTTAAACACCCTATTTCTGGCATCTTTGTCATACCACATTTTCATTTTCATCTGAGAACTCTTCAAATTTTCTTGTGCTAATTTACAAGCATTGTAAAGTTTTTCTTTGAAATCAGACACATAATCTAAAAGATTAAGATCACTAGTCTCAGTCAGCCACTTTTCCTTCAACAATTTCAAAGGACCTCTAACTGTATGACCAAACACCAATTCAAAAGGACTAAACCCAAGAGACTCCTGGACTGCCTCTCGTGCAGCAAATAGTACAAGATGAACCCCTTCATCCCAGTCTTTCTCATACTGGTAACAATAGGTCTTCAGCATTGTTTTTAGGGTTTGATGAAAACGTTCTAGCGCCCCCTGGGACTCAGGATGATAAGCAGTTGATCTATACTGCCTAATACCCAACTCATGCATGACTTGCTGGAACAACCCCGACATAAAATTTGAGCCTTGATCCGACTGAATTGCCTTGGGTGCTCCTACAAAACTGAAAAACTTGGTTAGGGCCTTAACTATGCTCTTTGCCTTTATATTCCTTAGAGGTATGGCTTCAGGAAATCGAGTGGATGTACACATAATGGTAAGTAAATACTGGTTTCCAGATCTGGTCCTAGGCAAAGGTCCTACACAATCCACCAACACTCGACTAAACGGTTCTTCAAAAGCTGGAATGGGTTGGAGAGGAGCAGATGGTATCTTCTGATTTGGTTTACCTACCATCTGACAGACATGGCATGACTTGCAAAACTTCGAAACATCCTTTCTTAGCTTAGGCCAATAAAAATGACTCAAAATCCTATTATAAGTCTTATTGATACCTAAATGACCAGCCATAGGTGTATCGTGAGCTAAACTCATGACATCTCGACGATAAGCAGCTGGGACCACTATCTGGTGAACAACACGCCACACTTCATCTGGAGAAGCGTCAGGTGGTCGCCATTTTCGCATAAGGATGCCATCTTTCATATAGAAGCATTCTCCAACTTTAATAGCCTCTTCTGGTGGAAGTGCCCTCTTACTAAGTTGAATGATATCTGGGTCTTTATGTTGTTCAGAGAGTAAACGTTCTCGGCTGAGGATGTCCTTGCCTTGGTTAACTAGTGGATGCAACTCATCATCCTCACCACCAAATTTTGGTAAAAGTTCTTTCTTCTCTTGCTTCTTGATATTGTGTGGTTCCATGCTTGTTTGAGTGCCATCAAGGTCAGATAAGAAAGTGTCATTCAAATCAATATCAACAGAGAAATCTGTCTCGTCAAAGGCTTGAGTATGGTCTGCCTCCATTTCTCGTCTTCTGGCCATCGCTCTAGTAACAGCACAGGCTGGATAAATGTCATCATCTTTATCATCGCACATGACATCTGGAGTAATTTTCTCACAAACTATAGGATCTGGTACAACTTTTCCACCAGCTAAATCGTTGCCTAGCAACAAAGAAATGCCTGGAACGGGAAGAGTAGGTCGAACACCTACGATAACAGGTCCAGTAACTAAATCTGACTTCAAACTAATTCTATGCAGGGGAACATCAATGACGCCTAGCTCCACACCCTGTAATAAAACTGACCCACCAGTAGAAGTCTGCTCAGACAAAGGAAGCACGCCCTCTAACAATAACGTCTGTGCAGCACCAGTATCTCTCAAAATCTGGACAGGTTTTATTTCGCTAGAGTCACCGAGTGAAACAAATCCCTGAGACATAAAGGGCTTATAATCCTCCATAGAATCAATAGAACTGGACTGTGAACCCTGGACATCAGGAGTGTCAGAACAAATCGAAACTAAGGCTTCTCTATCACCTCTAACTGCCGCACAAGCATGTGGTTGAGTTTTATCAAAATCATTTTTTCTCTTAAGTTTAAAGCATTCACTGATCAGATGACCCTTTTTCTTACAATAACTACAAGTAGGAAGCGACCCTATTCCAGACGATCCTTCAACACGTCCTGGACCGGACTTTAAACCACCTTGTGATGGAGACTGGAGACTTGTGGAAGACTGAGACCCTGAACCACTCTTTTTATATGTGTCTGAATTGGTAGAATTACTGCTAGTCTGAGATCTTGATACAAAATTCTTTTTATGAGACAGAGCATAAGTATCAGATATGACTGCTGCCTCTTCAAGAGTTTTCACATTCTTATCTTCTAAATGTGTTTTCAAATCTTGAGGAACACATTCCTTAAATTCTTCTACCAGGATGACTTGGCGCAAATTAGCAAAAGTTTTATCAAGTTTCTTAGATCTAAACCAGTGATCGAATAAATCTTCTTTCTCTCGTGAAAACTCAACAAATGTTTGATTTTCAAACTTCTTATACTTTCTGAATTTTTGTCTATATGCTTCAGGTACTAATTCATATGCTTTTAATATTGCTGCTTTGACCTTCTCATAGTCTGAACTTTCAGCTACCCCTAGTGCAGAGTATACCTCAGCTGCTTTGCCAACCAGTACACTTTGTAACATTGTTGACCAAACATGTTGTGGCCATTTAAGATTCTCTGCGACTTTTTCGAATTGGGGAAAATATTTGTCTACAGATTTTTCTTGAAATTTCGGAACTAACCTAATATTTTTTGCTGCGTCAAATTCATTCTTGACAAATGAAGGTTCTGGTTGGTGCTGTAATCTTAATTTCTCTAACTCAAAGTTCATTTCGCGCTCTTTTTCTCGCTCTTCTCTTTCTGCTGCTAATTTGTCAAATTCAAATTTCCGTTCACGCTCTCGTTCTTCTCTTTCACTTTCTAATTTTTCTCGTTCAAATCGCAATTTCTCTAACTCTACCTGATACTGAAACTCTGACATTTTATAAGATTCTAGCTCTGATTTAACTGTATATTCTGGAAGATCGTATTTTCCAAAGATGTTTTCTTCAACTAATTTGTTTGCAACCTTTATTCTAATATCTTGCTTTTTCTGAGAAGACTTAACATCTAACCCTAGATGCAAACCTAACGCGATCAAGTCATCCTTTTTTAACGTATCAAAAACCTGAACACTTGGTGAACTAAGAAAGTCTGTGACCGAAAACACCATGTTGATATCTGCTGGCTTATAATTTAATTTAACAAATTAATTAACAAAATTATGACAATAAACTGCAAAAGTGCAAAAATTCTTTATCCCGGACGAGCCCCCAATTCTGTTATGGGTCAGAATTACCCAAAATGCCAGCAAAGATCAATAACACAATTTAAACTTAACAATAATTTATTTACAGTAATATATAATAAGTGTATGAAACGTAAAGTACCAACTTAGCAAGAATCTAAAAATACATACATCAGAGTGTCCGTTGCTGCACACAATAATGTCCCAGTGAAAATATATCCCAGTTATATCTCAATAGTGCTTATACGACGAAAGTATATCTATGCATCAAATTGACAGGGTATTTATACAATAATATAAATCTAGAATATTCTAGAAATTGTTAAAACATGATATTACTGGAACAATCTGGACATACACAAAATTCAAGAATGTTCTAGATAGAATGACCGAACATGTTGACCACTCTGGAATGTTCAAGAAACTAAATGTTACTAATAATATACAAGATGAAACAATACAAATACAACACACCTCACAACACTCTGTTGGTTAAAGTGCGATAAGTTCGTCCTTTCAGATTGAAAACAAGTTTGCCCCGTTCGAAATTTGCCCTAATGAGGGTATAGAGAAAGGAGTAAAAATAAAACGGGGTCGAATATTCCGCTACGGAAGCCCGTTGAGGCCAGTTCAGAGAGAGAAATATTTTTTATTGCGTTTAAACGCAATAATTATTGCGTTTTATCGCAAAACTTTGCGTTTAATCGCAAAAGATTGCGATTAAACGCAATAATTATTGCGTTTAATGGCAATAATATTTTTGCGTTTAATCGCAATAATTTTTGCGTTTAATCGCAATAATTATTGCGTTTAATCGCAATAATTATTGCGTTTAATCGCAATAATGTTTGCGTTGAAACGCAATACTTTTGCGATTAAACGCAATCGCAATTTAAATGCAATAATCTTTGTATTTAAAAGCAATCATTTCTATTGATTTTTGAAGAGTGCAATGATTCCGCGCTGATATTCGTTTCTTTTTTCTTTTGTTCATTAACCTATGAGTGGAATTGTGTATTGTTAAGCATAATAGATTCAGATTCTTCTGAACAAGCATTTTCTGAATGATTAAATCATTGGTATGGATTTAAAGAGGAGAAAGAAGTGTCGGTCTGTAAAAACAAAGACAACCTTAGAATGAAACATAGCTTTAGCATGTATAGATGTCTATATTCCTGTATATTCATCTTTCCTTTGATCACATATAGTAGATACGAGAACACGAAAATTTAGGAGATGGAATCATATGAAATCAAAATAAATCAAATGAAAACAGATTGATCGATTTGTACTACCAAACTGAAATGGCCATTGATACCACTGAAACATTCTTAATTTGCTGTGATACCTAAGGAATTGATTAATGGCTGCTTTTAAAGTGTTGGATTCTAATAGGTTTAAGAAACTCTGGCTGTTTACCTAGGATGCAATTGTTAAACTTCAAATCTCACACACGGCAACATTTTGCAAAAATACACAGAACCAAACGGTTCTTCTTAAAAGAATCAGACCATAGTATTCATAATAATTTTTGGCTAGCCGATGTTTGATTTCAAACTACAGCACTGAATCATTGTGGTTAAATGCAAAATGATCCTTAAAAAGTATTATTGCGATAAAATGCAAAGAGTATTGCATTTTAATGCAAAATTACTGTGTATAAATGCAAATAATAATTGCAATTAAACGCAAAAAATTATTGCGATTAAACGCAATAAAAAATATTTCTCTCTCTGAACTGGCCTCAACGGGCTTCCGTATTTCGCTGTATACAGTAAATATTTTTGCCCGTGAGCTGGAGCGGGAGCTTGCGTATCTGATTTGCATACATCAATAACTCAATAGCACTTCTGAACATAAAATAATGTGGGTTTTTTTGATACAGTAGAACTTTTTATCTCGAATATGAATATCTCGAAGAAGTTAGTTTTATTAAGGAATTTTGAGCACAAAATATGTAATGAAACAAAATAGATTTTTTTTCTAGGTTTCATGATTTAATATTTAGCAAAGTCATTATCTAAACAAATGAAAAAATGGGGGGAGTGGGTGTTCTTACCTTGTTTTATAGCTCTGACGTCATGATAAAGGCTGATAACGAGGAAAAGAAGAAGAAAAAGGAGTTTCATCACGTGACCTTGATCCAGCCAATGTAAAATTAAATCCAAAAAAATTCACACATCTGAAAAAGAGAAGAAAACGTGTATCTTGACTCTCCCATTTTAAAATATTTTATGTCTGTCTTTTTTTCTTTTACAAATAGAAATTCATCAACTGTAATCGATTGTAAAAACATATCAGCATGGAGGAGAAATATATGGAAAATTTACTTTTGTACTTACCAACAAATCACCAGTACACAAATGAATTAATTTCAGCACGTCCAATATTTTATTGCATTACAATTAAACATCTGTTGCGTGATATATGATACTGGTCATTTTAAAACAGTGATACGATCAATTAGAATGCTCACACATGAGTAATTACGGTCATTTTTCGTTTCACTAATGACATTATTTCAATAATAATCATAAATATTATGTCAAACTGTTCATAAACTAGAATTCTAGGAAACATAATGTTGGTGAGACTGCAGCATTTTGAATACAGAAGCCTAGGGAAGTTTTGTATTTAACTACAGTTGAAATTTTGATTTTATGCTTCATCTAAAAAAAAGATTTGAATTAAACATTAAAATTAGGATGTCATTTAATGTGGCATTTTTAACCAAGCGATTTGCATGCTAAAGACCGGTCGACCGGGGATGGTTACTCCAGCATGACAATCTAATCCCCTTTCGGAAGTTCTTAAAGGCCCATGTTTGCTCTGCTACCGTTTTATATTCACTGTTCATTATCTTAAAACATGTATTTCGTTTCAGACAAAAGCTCAGATAAGGTTGGAAAATATAATTATTACAAATATTACATGATATACGAGTTTCAAAGTAATAAGTTTAATCCTCTGAGAAACTAATATACGTGCTGTGCTACCGGGTGGTGCTGTGTTTCTGGTAAAATGGTGAATATTCTTTAAATAAACTTGTTAATTTATTCTCTACATTACATATTTTTATATTTTACAGATTAAGCACATCACAGTTTTCTAGGTAAGCAAATTTCTTTCTTACCTAAACGGATGACTTCTATCCCATCCAGACCAGAGTTCTAGAGACTCTGTCGTACAGCCACCCATCTTCCTCCGCCGGGGGTGAGTGACAGGACAAAGACACGCCTACAAGTATAAACAACGCCCACCTTAGTGTAAGTGACAAGACATGTACAAAGACACGCCTAATTAATATATAAATCCCCGCCCATCTTAGTGTAAGTAACAAGATAAAGACACGCCTACAAATATAAACCCACCCATATTTTAGCGACAAGACAAAGACTTACTTGGAATATAAATCACGCCCATTTTAGTGTGAATGACAAGACAAATCAAGCATTAAAACAAAAAACCCTGCCCATCACAGTGTTATTGACGGAACAAAGACACGCCTGAAAAAATAAACCTCGCCCATCTTAGTGTGAGTGACAAGAAAAAGACACGCCTAAAAATATAAACCCCACCCATCTTAATGTGAGTGACAACACAAAGACACGCCTAAAAATATAAACCCCGCCCATTTAATGTTAAGAATAAGACAGCGACATGTGCCCCTCAATAAAAAGGTCTGATGACCTGACAAGGGAATGTTTCGCCTGAAAACAGAAACCCCGCCCACCAAGGTTTGAATGACATGACAATGTCAAGCTTGAGAAATTCAACCTTTCTCATATGGAAGTGAGTGGCACGATAGGGACATGTATGAAAACATCAGCTCGCCCATCTTTCCACGAGTGACCTGACAAAGATACATTGTACGCCAGAAAATGTAAACCCCACCAGTCTTAGTGTGAGAGACCAAACAAACAGTATGAAAGATATAATTCTGCCAGTTCTTCTCAGTGAATGTAAGCGATAGGACGGTGATCCGCTGTAAATATATCAGGTAGGTTTGAATTTGTATATACATAATGTACATGTAATACCTCCATCATTCACCTGAGGTCTGTTCAGCAGAGCGAACGTTCGCGAGCTCTCACCAAAATTACTATTGGAGGTATAAGGAATTCTGGCGAGCGCTCGCGAACATTCGCTCTGCTGAACAGACCTCTGATGGACCCTTAGTTTACTTGATAGATCGCTCTACCAATGAATTTACACAATAGGTCAAGGTTACAGAAAGAATAACGAGTATTATTACTTAGTTATATACAGTAAACATTAGAAAGGCAAGAAATCATATACCTGATCTAGATTATTTATAAAATCATTAAAATGTTTATAAATTATGAGAAACTAAATATTTCGTAAGAAAAATTTGGAAAACCTCACATAAAAAAGTTGTTTACAGGTTCTTGAATCGAGGTCAAAGGTCAATCAAAGGTATGGCTTTATAACATTGTGCACCCGGATCGATAGATCCGGGGTTTATATTGTTTTGTCCTGTCTGTTTGTTTGTTTGTCTGCAGACATTAACCTTAATTCGTCATAACTTTTGAATCATGAAACATAGAGACTTCATATATAGTATGCTTACTCCACTAATTAAACTCTTTCAAATAATACCAAGGCCATTGACCTTGTGACCTTGACTGTAACAATATGCTAAAAATAGCGTCTTTGTCTGCAAACTTTAACCTTCGTCATAACTTTAACACCTTGAAAGATAGAGGCTTCATATTTGGTATGCATACCCCACTAATATGCTAAAAATGGCTTTTTTCGTACCTTTCCCATGACTTCTAAAGCATGAGAGATATATAGATACTTCATATTTGATATGCATAAACCACTAATTTACTTCTTTAAATCACACCAAGGTCAATGATTTTGTGTCCTTGACTGTGACCCATATGCTAAAAATAGCTTTTTCGTACCTTCACCATAACTTTTGAATCACAAGAGATAGAGACTTCATATTTAGTATGCATACTCCACTAATCAGGTACACATTAAAAAATATTGTAAAATATTGTAAGTACCTCTCTTAGAGTTTCTGAAAAATCTACGAAACAACTTTACAAATCTTCCAAGTTTCCGTGTCTTCCTGCTCGTCTGGCTTGTTTCAGTTTTCATAACAGCCTAAGTACAAAAAGAAAAACAAGACAAAAATTAAATACAATTTAAAAAAAACAAAAAACAACGAAAACAACATTTCATTATTTTCAAATAATTGCATTTAAAATTCTAGACATTATTACACAACTGAGATCAGCTGTTGGTAGATGAATTTGTAAAAAAAAAATGTCATTGATTTAATTTCTTAAAGTTCTGGTGTTTAATAAAATACACAATAAACATTACAGTGTTTGGTCAGTAACATGTGTTACATGTACATTGTATACGTACCTTCAATAATAAATGATATTGGCACAGATAACTATACCTCGTATGCAAGCACGTAGATCAGAACCCCACCTTCCCTTTTTTTCTCGTCTTTTGTAAAATAACATTTAAAAATTTAAACACTTTTAAGTGTCACAAATATATGATTTTTGAAGGTGAATGACTTAATTTGATGTGTATTATTTATTGACCTAGCTACAGGCATAACTAATTATTTCGCCTATTTTTAGATACTGTATAAACAATTAATTATAAAACCCCTACAGGGAAGTATATTTTTGTATTTTTTTGGTCCAGGAATTTCGTTAAGAATGTAAAATTAATAAAAACTTGTAAAAACTTTGTACATTTGACTTCACCCCCTATTTTATACCATAGACCTAAATTGCTTTAGGTCTATGTTTATACTTTATGTAAAATATTCAATATACCCAAGAAAACAGGTACATGTAGCAATTTATCAATTGAGGTAGGGGGGGGCACAAATCTAACGACAATTCCTGGCAGGAAAAATTTATAAAATATGGGACACAACCGTATACATAAAGAATATTTTCTATCGCATAATTTATAATAAGCAATGAAAGATGTTGTAAAAAAAATTGGTTTTAGGTTAAAATTACTCACATTTAAAAGTCTGAATGCTATTACATATATCCAATCCTTTTAAGTCAGAAAAAAATAATTTAAAAGTTTTAACTGGTGACACGTGTACAGAGAAGTCAGCTGTTACGACTGACTTGTTATTTTAGTTCACCTGTCGCAGGTACGGAAGGTGGACCCCCGCACGAGGTGCACGTGCTAGGTAACACGATCGCCAGGTAACAGGATCTCACCACATCAGTCAATAATGCTAATATGTAACTAATATTCAGCGGAGGTTGACGCTTTAGGATTATAAAATGAATACACTGAAAACAATATTGATAATAAAAACAGGGCAATTTCACGATTTATGGGCTTATATTAGTGATGGTTTAATAAGATATTGTGTGATGTCTGTTGACTACATGTACATCATGGATAGAGGAACGGAAAGTGAACAAAAATATACAAATCTTAATTATATGAGAAACAAGATGTGTCTGTGAAACACACTGCGCCCGGCGGCAACAAAGTTCGAAAAATCTATTTTTAGTATATTGGTCACAGTCAAGGTCACAAGGTCATTGACCTTGGTGTCGTTTGAAAGAACTTAATTGGTGGAGTATGCATACCAAATATGAATTCCCTATCTCCTATGGTTCAAAAGTTATGGCAAAAAGTGGAAAAAACTATTTTTAGCATATAGGTCACAGTCAAGGTCACAAGATCATTGACCTTGACGTCATTTGGAAGGACTTTATTAGAGGAATATGTATACCAAATATGAAGTCTTTATCTCCTAAGGTTCAAAAGTTATGACAAACAGTGGAAAAAGCTATTTTAGCATATAGGTCACAGTCAAGGTCAAAAGGTCACTGACCTTGATGTCATTTGAAAGGAGTTTATTAGTGGAGTATGCATACCAAATATGAAGTCTCTATCTCTTATGGTTCAAAAGTTATGGAGAAGGTTAAAGTTGACAACAGATAGACAGACAAACAGATAAATAGACAAACAGACAAGACAAAAACAAAATACGCCCTGGATCTATCGATCTGGGGGCATAAAACGTTAGCACATGCACGTCATATTCATCTAACAAGAATGAGATAACTGTCTTATCTATCTAATTTTCTATACTGTAGTATTCCTCCTCATGTATTTGGTCTTGAATAACAACCCCCCCCCCCAAAAAAAAAAATAATACATATCCATACACACCAAAAGTTGCGTAGCTATTACGTATGTTTGTATATACGAAGCAACAACATTATTATTTAAAAAAAAATCGTAATTCATGAATGATTAGGAAAGAATGCAATTATTCAAGAAATTATATAATTCATTATTCATATTTCATATATTTCATTATTTAAAGATAATGAAATCGTTTTTTTTTTCAAGCAGCATCAAAAATTTTTGGACTCCAATTAACACAAAAATTTTTGGACTCCAACTTTGAACTTGAACTTTATTTTATTCTCATAACTGACAAAACAGTGAAGAGAAGATATATACAGAACAGTGAACATGAAATATTACATGCATGAAGAAAGGATAACAGAGTAATATCAACCAAGAGAGCTAACTCTCTCAATTATAATGTTTAACAATTTACAAATCTTGCAGAGTTGATAAGTATTGGTTACATTAAAAAGCATTTCAAATTTCAAAATATTTGGATTCGAATAAAAATATTTTGACAAATACATGACTCTTGAGTTCTTTATAGACACATCAGTGCATTTAAATAAGTAGTGAAATTCATCCCCAATATCACTGCTATTACATAATTTACAGGTTCTGTTTTCTCTAGGGATGTTAAACCATCTACCAGTTTCAATTGGTAATTTTGTATTCCCAGTTCTAAATAAACAATATTTCTTGGATTGTTTTGGAGGCAAATTCAACAAATAGTCTTCAAAAATTAATGATTTTTTAAAGATTCTATAGTTCAAACCTTTAGGGGAAGTTTGCACTTCACTTAACCATGTTTGTTTAAACTGATCTAAAAGAATGGTATATACTTTATTTTTAAGCCAAGATATATTAATTGAATTTTCATACCAGACATAAGTCAATCCACATTCATTTAAAATTTTCTGTACAAAGTCACACCATGGATTCTTATATAATTTCAATGCACATAAAAGCTTTGCTGATAATTTAGAGCACTGAGCATTAATGAGTTTACCCCAAAATGAGATCATTCTAACTTTGATATCAATTAATAAAGGGTGTCTACCAAGTTCTCCATACACCATAAAGTTTGGTGTTGATGTTTTCAGGCTCAGAATATGTTTACAAAATTTTAGGTGTAATTTCTCTATCAGTTTAGTATTGTGAAAACCCCATATTTCGCACCCATATAAGAGTATTGGTTTGACAATTTTATCAAACATGTCTAATTTACAATCAATTGATAAGTTATGTTTTCTACATCTACCAATAACACCATACATAGCTTTAGTAGCTTTATCATATAATTCTTTAGTATTTAAATTAAAAGAATTACTTTTACAAAATGTAACACCCAAATATTTAAAGTTATCAACTATATCAAGCTTGGAGCCTTCAAATGTAAAAGGGACATTATTTTTCCCTTTACCAAATATTACGACTTTTGTTTTCTTACTATTAACCTTAAGATGCCATTTCTTGCAATATTTAGAAAAAGTATTAAGCATGTATTGAAAATCATCTGGGTTTTCAGATAACAAAATAGTATCATCAGAATATAATAATACAAAAAGCTGTAAGTAGAGATTTAGTTCTCTCATGAGTTTTTCTGACAAACAAGATAAACCTTTAGCCTTGTTTCCGGATAAAAAATCCTCAAGGTCATTCAAGTACAATGAAAATAAAAATGGTGACAAATTCTCCCCTTGTCGAACTCCTATATTACATTCAAACATTTCTGAACTTATTCCATTCACTACTACTTTTGATTTTATATCTTTATACATGTTGGTTATAATCTTAAAACATTTTCCATCAATATTATTTTGTAAAACTTTATTCCATAAACCAATGTGCCAAACTGAATCAAATGCTTTCTCAAAATCAATAAATGCACAGTACAGTTTCATTTTGTGTCTTTTGAAAAGTTCTATAAGAGAGTATAATGAAAAAATATGGTCTGTTGTACCCATACCTCTGCGAAAACCTGCTTGATTTTCCAAAATGAGTTGTATATTATCAGCATATGAGTTTAATCTTTCATTAATAATTGCAGTAAATAACTTTCCTAGACAACTCAGCAGTGTAATAGGTCTATAATTTTTAGGATCAGTATTGTCTCCTTTATTTTTGTATATTGGGATTATATTTCCACAGGCCCACTGAGTGGGCATTACACCTGAGTCGAAAATTTTATTGAACAGTTCAGTGTATAAATTCAACATGTAGTCACTTGTATTTTTAAGATATTCATTAAAGATTCTATCTTCGCCACAGGCCTTGTTATTTTTCAACATATTAATACTGTTGCGGACTTCGTCATGTGTTATTTGTTTGTTAATTTCATGATTGAGCTGAACATCAGCCAACATATCAAGCTCTTCTTGTGTAAGTACTGTGGACTCTGAATCTTGTTCATTATAATTTTCATTACAGCATTCTTTATAAAATGTAAAAAGGTCATTCAAATCAGCATTACATCTTTTCTTATTACAGTTTGTGTTCAGGATTTTCCAATATTCTTTAGGGTTTTTTGTTCTTAAATTAGCAAGTTTCTTTTTAATTTCTACTCGATGTTTAGTGTTAGCATTATTTAATTTTTTCCTATATATTTTTTCTTTTCCATACAAGTCAGCTTTAAAAATTTCCCCTCCAAATTTTTTATACAACCTTCTTGCTTTTCTAAAGTTTTGTCGAGCATTTTTACAATCATTTGTGAACCAAGGTTTCTTAAATTGAATTTTTTTCTTACTTGAATTTGTATTAATTATTTTCTTACCAAAAGTCTCTTTAGCACTTGATACCAATATGTCACTAATTCGTTCAACAACATCATCTATAAAATCCGATGTGACGTTTCCTGCTGCTGTGTTTCTGATTTCGTTTTCTAGTAGTGTGATTGCATTTACTTTGTCTTTTATAGTGTTATGAAATGTTTCTTGCTTCTCAGGGATCCATTTTTTAGCGATTTCGTGTATTTGTTTTTGCTGATTATTTGATTTCGAATAATTTTCTTTTTCAAAGGCTAATGACACTTCTATAGGATTGTGAACATCAGATAATAAAGTAGAAAATGTTAATATTTTAAAATCAGAAACATATCTTAGAAACTCCAAATTTGAAATACAATAGTCTACAACACTAGATTGTTTACAAGTAAATTCACCATTTGGGTCACCTTTGGATCTACCATTGAGAATAAAAATATTACAATGTTTGCATACATCAATAAGTTTTTTCCCATATTTCCCAACGAACACTCTCCTAAATATAGTATAATTTCAGCTTTCACGCCTGGACTCCCTCCCTTGACGCGGCGTTCTGTTTTGGGGGAAGGGGCATAATGCAGCCCGGGCCGGAGTCTTCCTAAAAGCATCCTTACTACCGTACTAGCTTATTATTTGTTAAGTTATGTCACAAGAACTGTCTTATTAATCTAGAGTCCTGAAATTTTGAATTGAACATATAAAGAAAATAAGGTTTCTAATCAATCCTGTGGAATTTTGATACACATTGTTAGTAAAGCGTGCTTTATAAGTGAACGATATCTGATGGGATGGATTTAATAATGTGAAGAGAGATGATTGGAGCTGTCTGCGTACCATGAGTAGTTCAGGGAAAAAGACTTTTTTGTCATTTTGTTGTAAAAAAGACATTCTTGAATAATAGGATTTTCTAATAAAGAATTATTAAAAATATATATAGAGATTTAAAAAAAATAAAGAGAGATGAATAAATAATGAATATATGAAATATAATGTTTCACTTAATTTTAGGATAAGGCAAAGGATTGCGTGTAATTGTACGTGCCCCAATTTAAAATAGATGTACTAGTTCATAGATGTGTACAATTAAAAATAAATCCCTCTGCTTTAGTAATTTATTTTACAACCTTTATAAAAAGATAAGGCATATTGTTATTAAATCTAATGTATTTAAATCGAAGATAATTATGTAGAATGAGACTGTATACATTAAAACTTTTAAAGATATAAAAACAAATCCATTCACTCCTGCGTATATCAATTGAGCGATCAGCTGAATTTAAAGGCCTTAAATAAAAATAACAAAAGTTTAAACTATCAAAACTTCTACAAGCGCTGGGCGACCTTCCGGTCATCGTATAAAAACAAACATTAAATCAACTTCACTTAGGACATTTTATCCACACATAGGGCAAACACTCCGTATACCCCAGCACCTTGAAACTTTTTAATATGAATGCTTGTTGGTTCCACTTTATGAAGACCTATTCAGATTCCGTCAGCTGTTTCAATGTATGCATTCAGACCCTTGATTTTAAAAACGACATTGTTATTTGATCGGCGAATTTTGAAACGACAATGAAAAACTCATTACGAAATCAAGGCCTGTACATTTATGAAAAGTTGACGAAGATGAAGGAATGGTCGTATAACGATGCGTGAGTTTATCAGAAGGCACCGTGAGAAGCTGATCTCCGGACTTCTCTCTGGGTAGCTGTTAACAGGGGGTAAGTCAGAGAGAGAGAGAGAGAGAGAGAGAGAGAGAGAGAGAGAGAGAGAGAGAGAGAGAGAGAGAGAGAGAGAGAGAGAGAGAGAGAGAGAGAATTGTTCCATGTCTTCAAGTTAATTTTATCAAAGAAATTTTCTTTTAGAATAATGAATTTGATATTTATTTTTTATTCCCCTGATTATTTTTTTCTTATAAATGACACGTATATAATAAATTATTTCAACTTGCATATGTCCGTGTTTGCTCTGCTCAATTGTGTATTGTTTAATGGACTTTTCAGTCAGTCTGACTAAAGTCAGCCCCTACTATTTCACCTCCTACGAACGACGTAAAATAGTAGGGGCTGGCTTTAGTCAGACTGACTTTTCAATTTGAATACATGTACTGTTCTTATCTCCATATATATTACTTTGAATAGAATTTATGTTTGTATACATACGTATACATAATATAATACGTATAATTTAATTTTACAAAGGGTATTGCTGACTTGGTGTCCTAATTAGTACTAATTAATTTTAGATTTAATTATAACGATTCTTGCCACCACGGGCTTGTCAGAGCCCGTATTTCCAGACACTAACGGCCAGGTCTTCATCTTCCCGATCGTCGTGGTAAGCCTAAAACACTTCATTTCTTTTAACAACTTGATGGTAATTGACAAGAGACGGCTTCACCTCCGTTTAACCTTGAGTGTGGATGTCATAGGGACACCTACATCTTTCACCAGGTCAATCTTCTTTGTTTTTTTTCTATTTTCAGTTTGCGATATCTGGTTTCCTCGGAGTAATTTTAGCTATTTATAGGGATGCCATGAAATGGCTGGTAAGTGGAAAATACATAATTATACAATGTACATGAATTTAAAGTTGCTTTTTCAAGCCTCATCGACCTTGCATGGGAAATCCAAGTAAAACAATATCAAAATACTAGACCTGAAAAAAAATACTTGAAGACCTCAGAGTGTATTACCAAGTTATTTTTATTTTTGTTCCTTCTATTTTTCAGTTAAACATTCACGCCGCCTTTCTGGTACTCACTCTTTTGATCTCTATGACGTCATTTATGGCGATCTCCAACAACGTAAGGACTTATGACATGGAGAGCTGCTACCTTAACGGGACAGTGTGTGACTGCAGGTAATCAGAAAACAGATTTCTATGATTAAAAAAATTATAATATATGCTATCTTTTTTTTTCATTATTTGCTGTAAAAGCACAAATTATATTATAAAATTTGTTTGTTTGTCATCTAAAAAAGTTTTTTTTTGGCATTCATAATTTCATTGATTTGTAAGTAATCCTATCCAACGAGTACATGTATGTGAATTTTTACAGTATTTGAATTTTGTATTCATGTATGTACATATAATCATGATAACTGTAGAATTCACCAGATAATCAAGTGAATGTTCTAACAGAGCAAAGGATTCGGAACTATTTTATTTATTTTGGTCTGGACACGGAGCAGTTATTATTTCAATTCTTTATCTGTTAGGGATGGGACAGAAATGGTGATGGATTGTGAAACGTTGTATCGCCTCTGTTTTGTTATTTTGATTCTTTATTCAACAGATCATCTCTATTTTGTTAATTTTTTTTTATTTTACAGGGATGGGACAGAGATGGTTGTGGATTGTGACAGGTTGTATCGCCTCCATGTCATTATCTTCATCATCATTGTAACATACCTCAGCTGTATGCTTCTCTGTCTAGTGGAGAGCGTGTGGGATGCAAAGCGCATGTGCTGCAGTGACGAGGTAGGTTTGAACATAATGAGTCAGTGGCTCGTAGAATAAGAAGTACTAGTTGAAATTCAGCATCAGGAAGTGCTTCAGTGGCGAGATAAGTACCGGTTATGTTTTACCAAGACGGTAGTTATAACTACTGCATTAAAACAGAAAGATAGTCGAAAAAGTACGAATTTAATTGATTAGTTTGGTTTTATCTCAAAAAATTTAATAAAGTAATTTTTAAAAACTATAGGCCAAACATTACCGTGAAATTTGCGAAGCATACGAGGACAGAAAGTGTAGTGGAAAAAGATAACGAACAGGGATCGATCTAAAAAAGATCAAACAATACAAATCTGTGAACAGGGCCCGCCGTTAAAAACATACTTAAGTCTGAGAATGCTCTCAAGTCTGAGAATTTTCTCAAATCCAAAATTCTCAGACTCAGCGGCCTTCATAAAAAAGTTGAGAAAAATAAAAATTTCTTTAAACTCTGTTTTATTCTCAGTTTCTCAGCTGAGTAATTCTCAAGACTTGAATTGAGATTTTCTCTTGAGAATTCTCAAAGTTTTATGACGGCGGGCCCAGGACATAAACATAGACCCTCGGAAATTCCAGAGGTGGGATACAGTGCCTAGGAGATTAATGCATCACCACCAGGAGCCCCATGTATTGGTAAAGTAGGCGAAAGATTCATTGCTAAATGTGGTACAGAAACAATTAATTCATGAAATAATTAGAAGTATAATATTAGCGCTCAGTACAAAATTATAAGTCAACAATTGCTGCAAATTAAGCCAGCCATAAAAACGACTAATTAAAAGGTAACTATAAGACCACTATTAACACCAAAGATTTTAGAAATGCTGACCTTAACCAAGGTTGTGGAAATCCCTGGAACATCAACATATCGGTGAGTAGCCTGTCTCATTTTCAAAATTGAACGCAGAGAATGCTCTTTAAAAGTGAGCATCAAGTTCAGAGAACAAAACACCATAAGCAGATGATAGTGGGTTATAAATAAATTCACTATCGTCAATGCCGTTGTTTTTCTGAATGTTTAGTTGAATGCCAGGGCAAACATTTTCTTCGTACGTCTTTTCATACTGAAAATTTTCTGAATAAATTTTGCTGAAAATGAATATACAATCACGTAGACTAAAAAGGAAACACCATGTCATTCAGTGCTATCAAGTCTCAGGAGGTACACATAACAAAGCTTGATACTTCCCTAGTATAAGTCTATCAAGTTTGTTTTTTAAAATATTTATATCATTATCTGTTATATATATATAATCAAAATTACTATATATCTGAATTTTTATTGTTCAAAAGAGTATATATCTAGGAGTTATGATATCCAATTGGTTAAAATTTTTATGTACGAGCATTTGAAATGATTCATATTAAATTTTCTGATAGATAGTGGATATTCCAGGAGTATTAGATGACGATGAAGAGGATGGCGAGAAAACCTCAAAGAACAAAGTTACAAAGAATGTGTTCACCTTACAAGATAACCATAATGTTTCTATACAACAGACGAAAGCCGAAGAACGCGCAAAAACTTCACTAAATGTGGAGTAAAAATGAAAATCATCAAAACAAATGAAAGAACAAAGTTACAAAGAATGTGCTCCCATTACAAGATAAGCGTAGTATTTCTATACAAAAGATGGAAGATGAACAGCGCGCAAAATCCATAGTATATGTGATTTAGAAATGAAAACCGTCAACACAAATGAACCATGCATGCACCAGGTATTGGATGTGTTGTATCATATACAGAGGATGGAGGTTTGAAGAGGCATATATATTTTTTTAAAAGGTCGTCAACTGAAAATATGTCGACAGTATTTCAGAGCTGGCGACGCTTGTAACATTTACTTGCCAAATGTGTTCATTCAAGGACGTTCTGCAGACTGGGGTCGGCTCAGTGAAGTTGTAGCTTGCGCAATTTGTATCAGTATTTTTTGTGTTTTAATGTTTGAGCGTTTTTAAGTTTTCAATAAAACGTGCATCCAGAAAATGTTATTCCTGTCTTTCATGTAACTTAAATCTGGCAAATAAGACAGTATTATGTCTTATGTCGACTCGATATATCGAAATTAGGAAAAAATGAATTCAATGAAGAATCTGCTATTTGTTCAGATTTGGAAGATTTACTGAGTAAATACAGTACTGTCCAACAAAACATTGAAATGATACGACATCAGATTTTCCATTGTCAACTTTCCCTATTCATAAAGTAACCACCAACAGTGACTCGATAAAGCCTTTATAACTCTCAGCTGATTTCTTCTGAGTAAATGAACCCATTACTGGCCAATGAAAGAATTTAATCCTACAGGGTGTTCTATTATTTTTTTTTCAAAGCCGGCATTTCCCCAACAGTTGTAAGGCATATACTTTTATTCAGAATTAACCACTTAATGCTCTTTTTAATATAAAAAGAGTATCTCAGTATACGAAGGTCCCACAGCGGGTTGACAAGGGACACTTCTTCTTGTTAACTTTTCACGCCTCTAATAATAACACGAATCAATTTTTTGACCCCAGGTTCTCAAAATTTTCTATAACCTGATAAAATTGATGCATTTTATAAGATTTTTGATTATTCCCCATTTTCACCCAATGGACTTTCATTAGTGTTAAGAATTTATTGATAAATTCAAAGTGAGTTACCAAAGTTTCATCATGATGAGAGAATATTCGAATATCCTTGTAATTATCATATTAAAGATTTTTCATAGTAATATAAAGCTACAATTTTTTGAGTGAATCTGTCCTGAAACTTGTTTCTAATACTGAATTAATATTCGGTATATTTCAACAATTACATTTTTGCCTGTCTTTGACACCAAAGTACAGATAAACAACGTTAGTCCCTGACCTTTGTTATCGTAGAGTACATTTCAACAATGGCGGGCCTGGTGAAAATCTGTGTTCTGTTTATTGGTAGGAATTTTTTTTATTCATAATAGATCATGTTATTGCTTTGTCATAATTATTATTTAATTTTACTTGTAACAAGAAATTTGATAAAAATATTTTATATTGTATAACAAAAGTTGCTGACGTCACAATGAGTTACGTCGAAAAGAAATACGCACGCTAACTCTCGATTCCCGCCTACATTTTGGAACCATTAATTCAATATTAATAGCAATTTGGCCATAAAATCTTTGTTTAATAGTTTAATACAAAGAACAGTTCAATGGTAGTTGAATAATTGTCTTAATACCAGCGCTAAACAGTAAATTATCCATAATTCCAGCTCTTGGAAAAAAGGGGGGTAGACGATATTTTCCATAGAAATCGGAGTTTCAAGCATCACCATATCTTAAAATAGTCTTGGAAATGATTAAATGTTCTTTATATTTTTTCTAATGTTTTAGACAAATTTATAAAACATAAATATATCAATAAAATATAATGTTTCAGATATAAATCGCTTTTAAATTGGTGGAAAATAAGCATTTTTATCGTTTTTTGTCAATAAACATATGTTCCTTCCCGTGTCACACAAAAAGCTTTGGTATGAATTTGTGAAATAACATTCCAAATTACCTGTTAAAAGGAATTTTTGTGACACGGGGGGGGGGGATGTTTTAGAATTTTTTTCCGTTTTCCGTTGATTTCTATAGTGAAAAACGCAAGTTTCCCAAATTAGTAATGCTTTATGAAAATCCATATAATTATCTATTAAAAATATTTGAAATGAATCGGATATGATAACTTTTGAAAATTAACTTGGATTGATTGATTGATTGATTGTATATTGTTTAACGTCCCTCTTGAGAATTTTTCACTCATATGGAGACGTCACCGATGCCGGTGAAGGGCTTCAAATTTAGACCTATACTCGGCACTCAGGGCCATTGAGCAGTGAGGGTTCTTTATCGTGCCAACGCCTACCGTGACACGGGACCTACGTTTTTAAGGTCATATCCGAAAGACCCGTGACTTTCACTTCTAGTGCCGAGCGCTTGGCGAAGGAACAGTCACTACCTATGTTTACGTCTTAGGTATGACGCGGCGCCGCGATCGAGAATCGAACCCGGGCCTCCCGATCACGAAGCGAACGCTCTACCACTAGGCTACCGTGACCGGTAATTAACTTGGAGGTAGGCGGGAGAACAATACTATCGTTCGCAGTTCTTAAACGTATTACTCTGCTTGACGTTAATTTCAAAATATGCTCAATATCAAAGCCATTTTTGAAGGAAAATTGTCTTATTGTCTACACTGAAGTTAAATTATAAGGAATGAAGTTTCATTCCTTAAAAAAAAAATAACTGCTTGTCGTTAAAAAAATTAGTAAGACATACTATCCGGTTAGTAAGAGTTCATCTATTTTATTTCTGCAGTGTTGGCAGTTGGGGTTTATACTTCCTGTCCCAGGGGCTGGACTTTTGTAGGTGAATACTGTCTGATGTTTGCAAAAGACCACGTGACCTGGATAGATGCAGCAGTAGGTGGATTGTAAGACTTCTCTTTATGTGGTTGCAGATTAATAAAAATAATAAACATTTCGAGATAAATATATTTTCTAAAATTTAATTTATTTAGTTTGAAGCTAAAATTCTCACAATTAAGTTTTATGCAAACAATAAATGAACATTGTCAGCTAACTTAAATACATTTATATGTGTAATGAAATATGTTTTTATTTCAGAGAAAATGCAAGCAGAACAATCACTCACTTCTTGTGACAATTGATAGCTACGAAAAAATGTCCCTAATTAAAACCATTTCTAATGCTTTAGCCAGTCCTTGTAAGTATAAGTGAACTATATTGTAACTAGAAAGATACATGTACCTTTGTTTTCAAATATTCACTAAGTGAAAAGTTTACTACTGTTTTGTTATAAAAGGGACTGAAGTAACGTGGTATAATTATTACAAAGAAACAATTGTTACGTTTGTGTTTTTTATGCTTAAACAAATGTTGTATCTGTTTTAATCTACCTTAGAAATACTTATATATTGTACACACGCACAGTACTCAGGATGTAGCATCCATTACAGTCTTTGATACATAAACAAAAGTGAAAATAACGAGTAGTTACCAATCCCAAAAATCCTTTTACGTAAAATATGAACAGAATTAAAACACCAGTAATGGGATCAGGTAATAATGAGTAAAGACTCCCTTGCAACTAATGATATTCGTCACAAGACCTCTATATCGATCAGGTAAACAGAGACATAATTTTCAAAACTTCTGACAAGTTATAATTGTTCTATTCTTCTAGCTATAAGGTATGATTAACTTCTAGCTATAGGAATGACTTATTTCTAGCTATCGGTATGGCTAACTTCTAGCTATAGAAATGACCTATTTTTAGCTATAGGTATGGCTAACTTCTAGATATAGGTATTTCTAGCTTCTAGCTATAGGTATGGCTAACTTCTAGCTATAAGTATGACTTATTTTTAGCTATAGGTATGGCTAACTTCTGGGTGGGAGGTAATGACTTTGGAGTGGAGGGAGAGTGGAGATGGGAGGAGACTAACCTTAAGATCGGCCCCTTCACGAACTGGGCCCCGGGGAGTCCTAACGGAAACTCCTCAGAGAACTGCATGCTGGTCGGATTCGATCACAATAATACGGACTTATACTGGAAAGACGCCAGATGTACAACCCACCATAACTACATTTGTCAGTTCAGGTGAACTTTTTTCTCTTTTAAAACTTATTGTACCAAATGAATGTATTTCTAAAATTTCCAGACTTCTTGACTACATGGGTCATCGTCTGTCTTTCTTCCTAGCGCATTGTCCTTTCATTGTTCGTTTTGACTTTGAATGTCTTGGTATTTGTTTAGTTTCATTGCCGCATTACCATATGATCAGACAGACAGTAAAATTGTTATAATAAATCAGAGTAATATTGTTCATGAAAATGAATAACAGCAGAATCTAAATATGCCTTTGATTAAAATTTCTTTCCAGACTTTACAGCGAAGGTTCAACCATTATAGGGCGAAAATAAAAAGTCTGCTGTCATTGTAGAATCATAAACGTTTTGAAAAACATGTGTTTGACTTTTAATTTTTAAATAGTATACACGGTTTAGAAATAAAACAAAGCCCTTTATATTGCAATTTTTGTTGTTGTCAAAATTCACCTCAAAATAAATATTGTATCATCAAAGACGTATATATTATTTCTTTTTTTCAAAAATTGCCTAAGATTTTTTAAAAACATAAATCTAATATGATGATACTGCAAAATAACTAATTTTCGGAGTAAATGTAATGGACGAATTTCACATTCCTAAGAGTTATCTCCCCTTTTCGGCATAATGCTCATTTTTTCCCTCTTTGTCCTTTGTAAGTTACCAGTTAATATTTTTAAATTTCAAATGTTATAGGACAATATCGTTGTGTACCTGTATTGCCAGAGTATGGGGCAACGTGAAAAACATAATGGGCATATTCATAAAGATTTTATTTCTAGGATACTAAACCATAAAGTTGGTAAGGTTATAGAGGGAAAACAGCGTCTTACGCTGGTTGACCCCGGATTGACCCCGCAAAGGGGAATAACTTTTGTAAATGTGAAAGTCGTCTATTTTTTTTAATTTAAGTTTAAATTGACGTACATACTTTTATTTTATTTTTTTCTTCTCTGATGCATTTATCAATTCCTCTTGATTCCATGTTTGCCATACATTTTTCAGTTAAAGAAAAAAATTAAGGAATTTAAGAACTCAACATATTTGCTCACGAATCACTACAAAAGTGATTCAAATGAATGCATGTGAAGAGAGCTCTAAGGCTTTCTCCCTTTTCAAAGTAAATGTCAAAAATGCCTAGAAAAATAAATATATAGAGAGGGCATGAAACATGGACTCCTGGAAATTGAAGACGAGGGATCAGGTGACTAGGATGAGTGAGCATTCCCTGTTGGTCGGTCTCATCATCGCGGGCCCTTTTTATTTATCATTTGACGGAACTATCCATCGTCAATGCAGTATAAAAACAAAGGACCAACAGTTAGTATGACACAATTCAGCTTAATAAAAAGCCCAATTATCGGTTATATTTACCAACAAGGGCATTATAACAACCAGAAAATTCATGAAATACAAACTTTTAATGAGACCGTAAAAATACCTTACAACATCAACTAATCAGTAAGTAATTGACTCGCTTAAAAAAATGATACTCCGAACAAGCTCTTGAGCTGGAAATAAGTTGGGAGACATGAACACCATGAGTAGGTAAAAGAGTAGTATTACTACATTAATAAGGAATGTTGAATGGAAGACGGAAATCATCTCATTTGTTATGATTTATTTGTTAAAATTGGCATGTATTGTCAATAGTCAGTAAAAATCTAAATATGAAATAGATGTGGCAGAATCAAGATCTGGGGTGTCTTTATATCAAGTTCACTGGAATGTATCGAGTCGATATGCGAATTAAAAAAAAAATGTTTATTGAGAAATCATCGTCTACGTTTATCAGAATGTCAAATTGAAAGTCAATGCAAGTATTTTTCGCTTTATGTGCAGGTTTTGAATGAATTCTGCTTCATTGGAATATAAAAACAGGTCAGCTAAGAAAAGAGAACAGTTAGTGTCCACTGGAATTCCAGCAATTTGTCTCTAAAAATTTCATAAATGTTGTCAGTTCGAAAATCCAGCATTTTTTTGGTATCATCTTCAGAGCACGTGTGTTTACAATCAGATTTGTTTTTGACAAAGTGAGTTTTGCTGGTGACCAATCAAAAGACGTGAAAATTTCAAAGTTCCGTGTTTTCATTTAAGAAGCAGTTGTTTATGATATATAAATGTCTAGATTTTTAGATATAGTGAGGAATTGTTGTAATAAGAGTTATTGTTTTAGACTTTGAAAAATATGGCGATTTTAAAGTTTCTGAAAGTTCTTTGGTCTTACGACAAAAATCGTCACTGCCCTAGCCTTGTAGTTCAAATGTTTCATATTACGCATTACATTCGTTGCCACGCATGGTCACCGATGCTGTGTCTCGGTTGCCATGGTAACAGCCGGATAAACCATTTTCACAAACACATGACACCTTGTTGCCACTTATATTGTAAAGAAACTTTTTAGAATCTTTCTTTAAGTAAGTACCAAATGTACCAAGGGTACATTAGGAATACATTTAAAATGCTGAAATGTTCTGAAAAACGTTCAGTGTTCACTAATGGTAGGTGTTACATGATAAAACTCAACCAACAGCTTACGAAAAACAATGAAAAAGTTTGACATTAAGTATATAATTGTAAGCAATATTATTATGTAAATAACTTTTATCGTTGCCATTGAAACACAGTCTTTGTATCCGTATTTAACTGTCTTCCCAATAGCCTATTGTCCTTGATAGATTTTTAAAATTTGTTCTATACAGTCATTCACTCTATGTTTCAATTTTACAAGCAAAACCACAGTTTTATTACCACAGGTTTTGGAGCTTGAATATTATTCCTTATGGAACTTTAAAATAGTATAGAAGATAAATTTAGTTACTTGGTCATTGGTCATTTGCAAAATTATTTTGTTAAAACGTTTTCTGATTGCACACATAAGTACTCTGAAGTTTAAATGAAAAGATGCTAGAGTTTTTGATTGACAATATCTATTGGATTTTGGCGACCATGTCTTCCAACAGTCTATTGGAATTCCCATTGATACAAATTGCACTCCGTTTTTTGCAGACCTATTTTTGTATTCATATGAAGCAAAATTTGTGCAAAATCTTATGCGTGAAAAGAAGAAAACACTTTCTGTGGCCTTCAACTCAACATTTATATATATCGACGACGTATTGTCAATCAACAATGGTAATTTCCATTTCAAAAGTAAACATATTCGAAGGATTTTTAATATTTTTTTTATAGATTATTATATAAATTTTCATAAAACATTACTTATTTGGGAAAACAAAGAGAGATACAATGTAACTATAAAAATTTAGTAAAACTTTTGTTTTTCACAAAAGAAATCAACGCAAAACGGAAAATACCCCCCCCCCCCTCCCCCCCGGAAACAAAAATTATTTTTTACAGGTGATATGGACTATTTTTTTTAAAAAATTAAAACCAAAGCTTTTTGTGTTTCAAAGTGGGGGGGGGGGGTGTATACTTTATAGACAAAAAACGACAAAAACAATATTATCATAGGTATGATAATTTCTATTAAAAACGATTTTATGGCCAAATTGCCATTAATATTTAACAAAATGAGTGCAAAATGTAGGCAGGAATCGAGAGTTAGCGAGCATTTTTCTTCCTTCACTTTGAAATTAGTTTTTTTAAGGAAAAAGGCTGAAGCCCATATGTATGACAAACAAAAGCTGAACATTATATGAAACATAGAAAATAGCATACTTTTAGTTTCTTATGACCAATTAGTTCATCCATTTATTGAAGGAATGTTTGAAATTTATCAAAGCATTAAAAAAAAAAATTAAAATCGACCTCCTTCATAGTGTATACGCACAGTAAAGTAGCGACAACGGACCGATGACAACGGACTGAATTTTCGTATCTTGTCATGACAACGGACATAAATTATAATAAACCAAATATTTCAGTTTTAATTTGTTTTCTTTTTTCCCGTAAATGCTTATAACATGTCTTGATACTGACTGCATCAATTGGTATATATATAATATTCTATTTACAAAAAATATAACATCTGAGAAGGAAAATGGATGAAATCCACGTTTGATTTTACCAGGGTTTAATATCGCCAACGCAAACTCCTCTTTTATTACTTTATTTTAACAGCTGGAATTCATACGACACCAAAAGGGGTGTCAGTCCTGTTCCCCATTGCAATTTCAGACATTGGTTGAAATTATTTACCTTAAAAAATGAAACACTGCTCACGACCTGTCTTCTAAAGTAATGACACCGGACAGTTTTTTCATAACCTTACCTGTACTTTCATGACAACGAGCCATTTTTAGTGCTTAACTTTGAATGTTTCTGACAACGGTACTGTCTTGGAACTTAACGTGTTCCTGGCCGTGGTTTAAGGTCATCATTTTGTAAGTTTTTTTGTCGATACAATGACCTTGTCAGCAATTACAATTATCACCGAGTCAAATGCTGACTGACATTTTTGAATCTAATTGTTAGTCCATTATTTATACACTGTATTGTCAACAGATTTTTTCTTTATTTCCCTATCATGACAAGTGGTGCATGGCGGGCGTGACTGGTCAGCAGAGGATGGTCACTCCTCCATGGCACCTGATCCTTTATCTTATGTTTTAGAGGTCCGTGTTTGCTCTGCTCCTATATTATATTGTTTTATGGATTTTGATATTGAATACTGTTCGTTACCTCCACTCTACATATCTCATGCATTTTATATTACCTTCATTCTGACTTATTCCCCAGTTACCATTATTTCATTGTTTGACTAAATGCAGTATCTAATTTCTGATTTTAAATTTTTTGTTTTTTTTTTGATTCTTCTTCCATAACTTTTGTTTGATTCTTTACCGGCCTAAAAAATCTCTTTTTGTTATTTCAGAGGACTTAAAAAAGACAAATGAAAATTTGAATCGGCAGCATCATTTTTTAAAAACCAAATATATGGCAATTGCTCTGTTTGATCATTAATGTGAATGCTGAAAATTGTTCATCTTTTTAGTTGTTTCAAAAAGGTTCAATGCTGGAGAATAATGCATCTTAAAAACAAAATCTCAGTGAAATGCGAACACTCCCCTTATTGTATCAAACTATCAGAGTTTGTAAACAAATTTATAATTTAGGCTTTAGCCATTTGCTCTACATTCTGATAGTATTCATTTTAATTATAACACAATAATGAAATATCAACAGATCATTTTTTTTGCAATTTTTAATTAATACGATTGATTTTTGCGTCACGTTGGGGACTTCCGTCATATTTTATATGTTTGTCAACTGAATATTTAACAATAATGAATAACAAAACAATGCCTTATCAATAACAATAAATGTGATACTTAATTCCCTGTGTAACATTAATGTAGACTAATTCTGGTTTCTGAACTAGATCATTAGAACAGTCAGTGAAACCCTTTCACGTTAAGTTGTACTTTCTGTAGTACAGAGATAAGGATTAGACTGACAAAGGCACGAGCAGGACTCTCTGTAAAGCAGACGACACACATACAAGATGGCGGCTCTTCCCGTACTCACTCTCCTCTCTGGTATGGAAACAAAAATTATTCTGTTCTTCATTATTTAGTCTTTTTTCATTATTTATTTCTTACTTAATGAATCAATTCTTCAGTAATTTGTTTTCCTTCAATAACGTATCCCTTCCTCGATCATGAAATATTTTCACAGTAACAAATTAGGGAAATAGAGCTTTTTTGGAAATTGAATTAGAGATTTTTTGATTTTGTCAAACGGAAAAATATGTGAAATAAACCTCGAATGACCATAGCTTGATCTTTTTTGGTATTTCACATTAACAGATTGAACTTTACGTGAATACTTGTGACTTTTCGCCCCGACCTTATCAATACATAGAAGAGTTACATGTAGTTAGGCTTCTGATATTACATTGTAATTCAATATTTTTGTTCCAGTACTGACCGTGTGTCTCGGTGACTGTGGCGTGGGTTGGGCTGAGTTTAATGGAGAATGTTTGTACTTTAGTCATGATAGACACACCTGGGCAGATGCTGCTGTAAGGATATTTCTCATCTTTTTGCTTTTTTTTTTTTTAAAAGCACTTAACTCATTGCATTATACTCAGCAGCACATATAACTACCACGTAAAATGTTCTTACATGAGACAAAAACAATTATTCTTATCTTATGTTTTCTCCATCCGGGTTAGAATAGGTCCTCAGTACCTCCCTGCTTGTCGTAAAAGGCGACTAAATAGGGCGGTCCTTCGGATGAGACCGTATAAACCGAGGCTCCGTGTCACAGCAGGTGTGGCACGATAAAAATCCCTCCCTGCTCAAAAGGCCATAAGTGCCGAGCATAGGCCTAAATTTGCAGCCCTTCACCGGCAATGGTGACGTCTCCATATCAGTGAAATATTCTGGAGAGGGACGTTAAACAGTAAACAATCAATCAATCAATCTTATGTTTACTTTAGTGTTTTATTTTTTCCTATTCTGAAAAAAAAATGATTTAAAAAGCATGATAATTCTTGCTCAAGTCAGGATGATGAAACCGGGAAATTTATTATACAAATACACACCTATCTCTTAATAACAGAACAAAAATAATTTGTAAATATTAGTAGGTCAACAAATTATAATCATGATGTCATAAATATGAAATTTGAGACTTTGTTTCTGGTTGACAGG